AATTGGAGAGCATTGTGTTAGAAAGGTCTTGATAATGACGGATTTTACAACTCGTACGACCCGTATCTTTGCGGCAGTATTAGACATGTGCCTGGTTAGGTCTAATAAATTTCTATAAATTTTCACTCGATAATTTCCATCTACAAAACCCTTCAACTTCTAGTTTGTAGTTTTGAAGTTTGCCAGGCTTCCAGACCATCGTATCTTAACAGATTATGGCTAAACAATCCCTTTTGTTTTCGTTCTTTGCTATTTCAAAATTTTCACAATCACTTACCAACATCAAAGACCACTTGTTTAAAATTTCTTTCTTCAAAACCAAAAGCGTTTTCAGGTTTTTCCAACATGCTATGTAGACTGCCTCCTTGACAGTACTCCATGATTATTGCATGAGCTTCGTATTTTTTCTAAAGAAAATACTAACCATTAAAAACTTTGCACAAAAGGCAATTTGGCGTCAAGCAATATGGCGTTATGTCGGTTTCCTGGTGTCGTCGACGTTTTACTTACCAGTTAAAGTATCGGTATTGAATATCGTATCGAAATAGTGGTATCGATGAAAAACTAACTATACTATATAAAAGTATCGTATCGAAACCGATATTCCGAGTATCGCCTGGCACCATTATTAAAAAGTGGCTTTCTAAAGTCAAAAATGACCTGCCATACGGCCCCCCAGCTGCCTTGGGTACTAGCTTTTCTTTTCTTGGATACTGAATTTGTCTAAAGTACTAGCATTTTGATAGCAACATTTACAAAATTTCAAAGTACTATTAACAGTATAGCTCTTTGAAAATGGTGAGTTTGGCAAATACAACGGCAACGTGAATGAATAAAAGAATGCCGAATGGTTTTCCGTGCAACATCCCAGGTTCATGGATCACGCTATCCTGTTTGGGAAACTATTTGGTAATTGTTTTATCAAATAACTACAGTGAAACAATGGCATTTTGAGAATCCGGCGAAGGCATTTTAATTCCTCGTGCAGGATAGCCTGATCCTGCACGGCTATTGACCAATCAAATTGCGTGTTTCACTGTAGTTATTATATAAGTTATTATATAAGATGTGATCACGTGATCATTAGGAATGGAATTTTACTCTAAGACAAAGGCGACTATAAAATGTATATTCCCTGGAGCATTCTCTAGTACGCCGTAGTTGTTCAAATTGCTACGTTATTTACATCCGACTTCCATGGCTCATACCCACGCCAACAGTTAAAACGTTCGAAGTCGTTTGGAATGTTTTGTGTGAATTCACTGACTGGCCAAATTACCTAACACTGTAAGTGACGGAACATTCTCGAGTTCTTAGATAAGCAGTAGCTCTCAAATTCAAGTTCCTCTAATTAAGAACACATTGTACAGGACCAGCCAGCACATATTTTTAATGTTTTAGCTGTAGAAATTAGGAACTGTACTATACATACTACCGAGTATTTGGTAAAGTGCAGGCCAATAATTTCTTAGTCTTGAAAGCATGGTCAAGACTTGCCTAAACTTTGAAATTGTACCCACATTATTTGTATATAGTTACATAATTATAAATATTTTGTTTTAACTTGTAGTACAATAGTAATTTTATATGTAAACTTTGTCCTGTCGAATAGGTTATTGTCGATTTCCGGAAACTTTTCAACACGCTGTTCCCAAGTCGCGAACTTGCCAATTACGTTGTCAAGTTCGGAAGTTGGGCGTGAACTTCGCAAGTACAAGTTATATACAGTTTGTAGAATCTGTAGATAATTTAATTGTATTAGTATATTTTGGTACGCGAAGAGCCACTGGCAATAAATCGTTATTATTATTATTATTATTATTAGCATGACAAAATTACTGGATGCTGATTGGTTGAGAGGAGTACAATTATTTCATTAATTGCACTGCAGTACAATTAATGATTTTCCCAAAACAAACAAAATGGCGGAAAGGTATTTTAAACACAAATGTGAAATGAAATTGCCCTAGAGGGACTAGATGAAAATACGAACAAAAGCACCAAATTTTGCTTCAACAAAAGAACTAAATTAAAATACGAACAAAAGCACCAAATTTTGGTTGAAAGTATGGAAGGACTGGGCTTTGGCGAGAGAATATGATTTAATTTAATTTTACAAGATTCGCCAAACATAACAGACATAAATAAGTCTAATACTTTACAACATTTACATACAATTCGGGCAGGGACTAGCCACAGAGATAATCTCCAATTATGGGGCCCCTCACAATAAGTTACAATATATAACATTAAAACAAATTATGCTAAAATGTCAACAACATGTCCTCACTAATAAGCTATCAAGAGACCGAGTTGAGTGGCATTTGACGCACACGGACTTAAATGTTCTAGAATTGTCCGGGTTGTATATTTGTTCTAAAAGGTTTAAGTAGTAATTGAATAAAGAGATTTTAAAGTAAGCTAATGATCTTGAAGTGTCACGAATATTGCTAGGGAGAATGTTCCATACGCTAGACGCTCTCACATAGAAATTGTTCTTGTAGCTAACTGTCCTGCATCGAGATACATTAAGAAGAATACCATTGACAGGGTCAGCGTTTCTAGTCGTCCGGGTGGTTGTTCGTATTGACACATTGACATCGTTGCTTAGAATACTCTTTTAAAGAAAAACTAAGTCTAGAAATTCGTGCCAATAGCAGACTGGGAGAATACCGACAACCAGTAGTCGTTCCCTGTATGTTGTGGCTATTCTGTAAGGAAGGGAAAGGATGAATTTGGTCGCGCGACGTTGGACCCGTTCTATTTAGAGAAGTGGGGGTGACAGTTTGAGGTGTCCACACCTGGCTCGCATATCCTAACTTGCTGCGCACTAAGGACAGGTACAAGACCTTTCGCACGTGGATGTTATGCGTGTCGGTGGCTGTTCGACGAATGAAGCCTAGCATTGAGCTCGCTTTTGAAGTTATATCTTCAACCTGTTTCGTCCACTTGAGATATTTTGTGACAACAATCCCAAGGTCTTTTTGATGACATAGTTGCTTCAGAGAACTATCCAGTAGTTTATAATTTGTTGTGACTGGTTGGGACTTCTTGTGAAGCTCATTACTCCGCATTTAGACTTATTTAAGTCCATCTTCCAGATACATGTAGTACACCAGTTCACGAGATTATTGAGATCATTCTGCAGACTTTCGCAATCGGGTAAATCTTTCACCGGACGGTAGCACTTGGTATCATCGGCAAACATTGCCACAGTTGATTCGCCCGAGATGGAATGTGGAAGATCGTTCACATATGCTAGGAAAAGGAGGGTCCCCAAGATTGATCCCTGAGGAACTCCAGACAGTACAGGGAGTGTACCCGAGGTCTCACCCAGAACAGTGTCTCTTTGGTAGCGGCCGGAGAGATAATTTTCAAACCAACTTAGTAGGTCACCTCTTATTCCAAACTTGTGAAATTTAGTCAACAAAAGCTTATGACTAACCTTGTCAAACGCTTTTGCAAAGTCCAAATACACAGCGTCGACTTGGTTTCGACTTTCCAACGCTTGATGAATATCCGCCCCGGCGGCTCGTCCAATTTTGGCAAAATTTCCAAACATCACCCGTACTATTAATGCCTAATTGCATGATTACCTATACTTATTTTTATTATAATAATACACATGAAACAATTTCTCAATTCTGATTGGCTAAGAGCAGTGCAATTTTTTCGTAATACAGTGCCAATGAAATACAGTGCCAATGAAATACAGTGTAAAAAATAAATACCGTGCAAATTCCTTAATTTTCTTAATTTTTTATTTTTCAAATTTCTTAATTTTCTTAATTTCTAAATGTGACTTAGGCACGTAACTGTATAATTTTTCATGTATATTATGAATAAGTGATAGTATCGTTTCTCGTGCAATTTGAAAAAACATACGCTCGCGAGTTTCTCGAAAACTTCAAATTGCACTCGTCCTTTCGACTCGTGCAATTTTGATAGTCTTTGAAAAACTCACTCGTGCATGTTTTTTCCAAATTGCACTCAAAACCATACTATTACCTATACTTATTGCTACTTGTAGAGCACTTTTGAATTGATATATACTAAGAGATGTTCGCAAAACATCGGGAGTTGAACTTCGCCTAATCATGTTTTCTATTTATTGGATGATAGGGGTGTGAGGGGGTTCTCCGCCAGGCGATTGTGCTATTCTTGAAGCTTGATGACTGCATTTCTTGCGTTTTCTGAAGCAAATTCGAATTCGTAAAAGAATTGCACTAACATTTCTGACAATTCGCTATTTCGCCAAGGCAATCCTTTAAATTGAAAGGGCACCTTTGCCCCCCTTGCCCCTCCTGGTAAAAGGCAACGGGAGCGACTGCCCCTCCTGCCCCCCAGTTCCGGCGTCCCTGAAAATAACCCAATTTATGGGGTTTTTTAATCAACAAAATATTGGTGAAATAATTGCGTCTGAGCAGGGCTCGAATTTTATCGCGGCAATCGCGGCAATTGCCGTAGAGGGAGAACAAAATGCCGTGGATCATTGCGGCAACGACGGCAATTTTTTGCCGTGAAGTATAATTTTTGGACTATTCACTGTGCATTACTATTTTGACACTTTAATTCAGATGTTGATCAAATCATGCGTAAACTACTATTTTAGTCTGAGTTTTCTTCGAAAAGAAAACACTAAAGAAATACGTAAACATGTTCCTAGCTTGTCAACAATCCAAATAACAATAAAATTGAATTTTTATTACAGTAATTTGAAAAAATTGCCGTGGAAACTGCCACAATTGCCTTAGACAGCTGTTACGTTCTACGGCAATTTTTAACGCCATTGCCGTCGATTGATTTCCGGGAAATTCGAGGCCTGCGTCTGAGACAACCTGAATTCAACCAAATTGGTTATTTTAACTAATCTGATTTTACAGTGTATGTTATTAAGGTCCGGACAGGAGTATATTAGTCTCATTCCTTTCTCGTTTGGAAAAAAACGAGACCAATATCCTTCTGTCCAGACGAAACAAGCGATTGTATAACATTAAAACTACCTCTTTCTCAATTGTAATAACTTTGACGATGTTTTCATGTGTACAATCTTTCAGTTTCTGCAAAAGATTTAATTCTCGTGCAGTCACATAGTTCTCCCTGCGCATTCCTTGGGCATTGAACACTTTTGCAGCAAATTCTTCTCCTGTTTTCTGTTCGAAATAAGAAAAAAGAAACCTAAATTAAAAATATCAAAAAGCGTACTATGAATACATTGAACAACTATATACACACGTAAAAATCTCACATCTTGTAGCAAGTCTGTTCGCAATGCTTGTCCCAAGTTGTCATTACAACAAGTTTGGAACAAGCTGTTAACAACTTGTAACAACCTTGTTGATATTATCAGAGTCTGATACAGTCATGATATAACAATATTGTTACAACCTTGTAACATTTTTGTTATATCATGACTGTATCAGACTTGCTAGAACAACCTTGTAACAAGTCTGATAATGCCATCAAGTTTGTTACAATGACACCTTGTGAACAGATTTGTAACAACTTGTTTGCAGACTTGTAACAACTTGTGCGTTTTTACGTGTGTACACGAAGACTGCATATCTCCCCTAGGGAATTAAGTTATGTGTCATGCATAAATTATATAATGGGCTAATCAAGCATTCAGTTTACTCTGCCCGGCAAAGCGAAACAAACTTTTGCTAATTTCTGATCCAATTTTCATCCTGACATTTAACCAAAATTTAATCAATTTGTCCTTGGGCAATGTCCATTAATTCCACAAATTTTTGTATCAATACGCTGATTTTTTAAAGTTATCGTGACACAGAAACAAACGCAGATAAAACCACAACCTCTTGAATCCTGGTGGATGAAGAATCCAGGGTGCGATAATTCGCGTACTTACGTACCGGAGGTACGCCAATATTACGGCCTGCATGGTACTTCTTTGTTTTCGTACCATGCACGTATAGGTACGCGGAACTCTTGCTATCTGCGTACTTACTTTTTGTTGGTACCACATGACCTTTACAAGCCCAAGGTATTCAATATACCGTAACTTAGTTGGTATATCATGTGTCTCACATGTCTTGGCATGAAACATGATTGGACTGATCGCACTAAGAAACGTTGGAGTCGATTGTTTGTATATGCAATTGTGCTTTTTTTTTCTACCTCGTAGTCTGAACGAACTTTTCAGAAACCTGTACTTTATGAACCTTATTTTAATGACTAAGAGGCCGATTACATAGGCGAGTTGTCCCGGCTAAGCAAGTTGACTCGCTTTGCCGAGTTGACCCGCTTCCTATATGTATTGTCTAATATTTTGACATTTCGATTACATGCAAAGCGAGTTGTCCCGCCTTGCCGGGAAGGGTTTGGGGCTGTCAACTTCCCGTTTGTAATCTAAAATGACTGAAAATTGCAAACTTCGCAAGGCTATATTATCCGCATTTTACAACAATTCGCAACGAAACTTTGGAATATTACTAATTTTGTGATGCTCTTTCAAGCTGTGATGAAATTTTTGTCTAGATCAAAATTTAGTCTATTACGCAAGTGGTCAATTATCAAGCCCAAAGTTTGTGTTATTAACTCAAGCCGAAGATTTAGATGTTTCAAAACCTTTCGTGGCTGTTTTCATTAATATTTTTCTTTATACCTGCGAACACGGCCGAAGGTGATGCCATATTATTTCGGCGTTGCCGTTGCTAAACTCACTCTGGGGTTGCCGTTGCTAAACTCACTCATGAGACATGATTGCATGATTGTGTATGAAACATGATTGGACTGATGGCACTAAGGGAGTGTTGGATTCTTTTGTTTCTACACTTTTCAGAATAATCAGAAACCTACACTTTATGCACTTTATTTTAAAGACTAAGTATATATACATTGAGAATTGAGAACTGAGTTTGTACCAGCGCAATATTCATTGGTGTACCAGTCATGAGGACGACTAAAAATCTTGAATTATCGCATCCTGCAGGTTACATGCATGAGAGTGAGGCTTAGTTAATAAATAATCAATGGTAATAAATTAAAAAATTAACTATGTAACTATCAACAATTTACTTTGTGTTGGCATTTATAAACATAACCAGTTGCACCACGCCCAAGCTCATTTTCTTGGTACCAAAAATAAGTTTCACTTTCTTCACGGGTTCTTCCTTTTGTTGACATGCTGTCTGTATTAAACCTGCAAGTAAACATTGATTCTATAAGTTTATTGTTGGTTTAGCTAAACCTTCTGAGACACCAAAGTGACACAACATTTTCACTGTATCTTACTTATACGAAAATGTTGGTAATTGAGAGCAGTTTTAACAAAAAAGGACAATCTCATAACAGGGTGTTAGCTATCCCATATACTGTCCGTTTGACGGACTCTTCCCAATTGAAGTAGCTAAGGGGCTTTCCCAACTGGGTTTACTGGAAGATTTTCATTTTTTCTGATGAGAAAGTTGATTTTATATTATATTATATTATATCAAAGAACGTTTTATTTACTTTTTCCCATTAACTATTTCCTCAAAATATATCGCGTTTCATTCATATTGGGTGTGTATTCACTGAAATGAAATGTACAAAACAAAGTGTAATCGGTGTGCATCGGTGTTCATTCACCGGAAATGAAATATACAAAACGAAGTGCCATCGGGTGCATTTTTCAGTGTTCATTCACCGCAAATGAAATGTACAAAACCAAGCTACCGTTGTTTGCATCTAAGGAGAAACACGTTGGAAAAAAACACTATTTATTCCTACACAAGGACTTTGATCGGTCAAAAAAACTTTCCCAATTTACGTTTAACGGACAAAACTTTTTTTTCTGGCTAACACCCTGCATAAACAGTAACACAATGACTATATAATTTTATACTGTAGTTTATCACACAATTGTACCCAATCCTAAGAATTACAAATATTCAAAACTTCTTCTTAGAATGATACAAATATTTCATCATATTCGGGGTCAGTGACACTTTAAAATGCAAGGAGAAGAAAGACTTTATTTCAGTGTTGTAACAAGTCGAGTCATTGACTATTTTCAGGAATTCCTCAAGTCCAATACAAAAAATGACTCGATTCAAGTCAACAGCCCCAAATGACTATAGACTCAGACTTGCTCATAAATAACTTGAACATAAATAACTCCGTAAATGACTTGTCAGTCAACTCAGCTATAATATGTACAGAATAAATTAATCAACATTATTTTGATTGTATTGCTTGGAAAGAACAACAATTAATGACCCTGATAACCAGTGCCGTAGGAAGCTCTTTTCGATTGGGGGAGGTTGAAAACAAGGGACAAAGGCCCAAGTCAAACGCCACAGGCGCGATACTTTATAGTCTGAGGGATTTTTAAATTTAGAAAATCTGAAAACCCATTTCCTGGACTTTGGGGAAGATTCGACAGAATTCTGATGGTCAGAAAACAGCGTTATATAGCCTGCATGATTTTGAATTGGTCTGCATGATTTTGAAAAAAGAATGATTGTTAGAAAATTCTTGGGGGGCTGCAGCACCCCCCAGCACCACGGTGAACAAACACGAAGTTCAAAACTTTATCAGAAAACTGCAGGGGATTTGCATGGAATCCCTGATGGACATGGCAAGTCCATTTTCTGTATTTAGAAACAACGCTAGTCCCACATACAGTTTTTAAAATAATTGTACTTACTAATTTGACCGACTCTTTTAATTTCTGGTATTTACGAAGTGCTATATCAACTTAAATTGACTTAAAGTCCATTCTTTGTCTAATCCAGACTCCAGTTGCAAGTTATGTTAGTTGTATTTCCGTTCGACCAACAGGCATGATGAGACATCTCACATGGCCATAATTAATATTGGCTAGAACTGTGAAGTTTAACCATTGACTTGACTTGACTCGAGTGGCAACCATTGACTCAACTCAATCAGAAAGTTAAATGACTCGACTCATATAACTCAACTCAGCTTGTGACTCGACCTGTAGGTGACTCGTTTATACAACATTACTGGTTTATATTAGAGGTGTGCAAATCCAATCCGAATATTAATTTCGGATTGGATCGGATTGATAAAGTTGTTTCATAGTCGGATTGGACTTCGATATTCGAAATAAAGTGAATTAATTATATTTTTAAAATTATTATATAAAGTACCAGTATAGTGCTTTATAGAGATTTCGAGCACTGATAATCTCACATGTGAGACTATTTATGATAATTTCACATGTGAAAATTATCGCTTTTCAATTACTGCTTTTCTGTGAAAATTATCGCTTTTCAAAGACTGTCCTTTATATAATAAACAGAAAAATACATTGGTGCTTGGAAATACCAGATTTATTAATAATTATTATTAGGTTTAATATTTAAAACCAAAAGTCGGATCAGATTTGGATTAGACAATTTCGTATATAAAGTATATATTGAACAGTTGCTATCTGTTTCATTTTGAATTTCATTTTATTTTATTTTACAGATTTTGCCATTTAACACAAACTATTACACAAAATTAGTTAACACAAACTATTACACACAATAGATTACATGGGTGGAATTACCACACAGAGATTAGTTCTCCAATAACGGGGTTCCAAGACATTCGAAATACACAGTATGAACAATAACAGGCTTGCAGACCGACAAACAAACAAACAGACAGACGTGAAGATCAACAAACAAGCACAACAAATTACAATCAACGACTTACAATTTATGTGACAATAAATTTAACAACATGCTCGATTCGACAAGTTAGTCAATGGGCAAGTTGAATGACACTTCACACAAACAGACTTAAATGTTCTCGGATCCTCAGGTTTATAAATTTCCTTGGTGAGATACTTATAATGTTGCATTAAACAAAATTTGAAAGAGACCAAGGTTTTGTTGGTTTCTCTGATCAAACAGGGGAGTGTATTCCACACGTTGGCAACTCTGACGTAGAAGCTGTTTTGGTAGCTCACTGTCTTGCACTTGGCTACTTCAAGTAAGATACCATTGGTTGCATTAGTGCTTCGTGTTTCTCGAGTAGGAATTTTGATAGAAATGTTACTGTCAGAGTTGGAAATGATGCACTTGTAGAGATACACTAGATCTAAATACTCGTGCCAGTAACATATAGGGATGATGCCGATGGTGGTCAGTCTTTCCTGGTATGATATATCGGTTTGGTACGGCAATGACAAAATAAATTTGGTGGCACGTCGCTGCACACGTTCAACAGTCAGGATGTTGTTTACCGTCTGGGGTGCCCATACCTGACTACCATAAGCCAGCTGACTACGAACCATAGTCAAATAAAGTACCTTACAAACTCTACGCTGGCGAATGTCGAACGCCGTTCGCTTTACGAAACCTAACATTTTATTTGCTTTGGTCGATATCTCTTGCACCTGTTTGTTCCATTTAAGGTCGTTAGTGGTAGTTATGCCAAGATCTTTCTGACTGGATGATTGTAGGACTGGAGTGTCTGATATTGTGTATATACTGTGTGATCATCGGTTGAGCAATTCTTGAGAAATGCATGACTACACACTTGGTTTGGTTTAAGTCCATCCTCCAGTCATTACACCAGTTGGCAACACTATCCAGATCTTGCTGCAGAATTATGGTGTCTTGGAAATTTCGAAGATGACGGTGACATTTAGTGTCATCAGCGAACATTGACACGGTAGTATCGTGCGAGGTAGACATAGGAAGGTCGTTCACGTAGATGAGGAAAAGGAGTGGTCCAAGGATTGATCCCTGAGGAACTCCAGAAAGCACTGGAAGTGGTTCAGATGTTACACCAAGAACAGTGACTCTCTGTAATCGCCCAGAAAGATAGTCCCCGAACCAGCGAAGAAGATTTCCTCTGATGCCAAAATTGTGAAGCTTCACGAGTAAGAGATCATGGCTGACTTTGTCGAAAGCTTTCGCGAAATCAAGATAGATAGTGTCAACTTGGCCCCTTTTCTCTAAGACATTATGAATCTCGTGAAGAACATAAAGCATCTGGGCAGTTGTAGACTTGCCGCTTTGAAAACCGTATTGAAGATCATAAAGTTGACTTGAGAGGTGGCCAATAATTCGATTGTAGATGCAACGTTCAAACACTTTGGGGACCAGCGACAAAAGTGATATTGGTCTATAGTTGCAGACTTCATGGAAAGGACTTTTTTTCTTTGGAATTAGACTGATATTAGACAACTTCCACTCCAACGGCAGTTTTCCACAAGATAAACTCTTGTTGAAAAGTTCGCATAAAGATGGACTGATGTTAGCTGCGCAGGTTTTTAGCAATACCGCCGGGATTTTGTCAGGACCAGTGGCTTTGTCTACGTCGAGAGTTTTAAGTACACAACAAACTTCTCCTTCAGCTAACTCGAGATGGACCTCTTGGTTTCTTTTTCTTTTTGTGGCTTTTATTTTCGTGTTTTGAAGAATTACGAACTTCTTCCCAGCCTGCTTTGTTTCTCTGAAATGTATTAAAATACCATGTACTTTTATCAAATCAGTTTTGAAAGACGCAGATTGGTGTATCACTTGAAAAGGGTGAACGAGATTTCATGGGTTTTGTAGAATCTCATATCATTATTACAAGTACACATTATGACATTATTGCGTAAAAAGTAAACAATTACAAATTTTATTAATAAGGACAAATTCAACGAAACTTCTTCTGATTTTCTAATAATTTTAGACAGAATTTCAAGACCAGATTTTTTGGCGTCACACACCCTCATTGAAAGCAATAATCTATTGTTGCCCAAAAAGCATTGAATGTATTACCTTACGACTGCAAACGTCAGTGATAAGTGCGGAATACATATATTTATTCAGACGCGATCTTGTCTTTTATTTATTACTCACTTTTCGTTTAGCTTCATCTGTAAACGGGTTAAAATAATTTCGATCACGAGGAATGAGTTTCAGCTCTTGTGCCATCTATAAAAATATTTGATCTACAACATCTACAAAAGGATTTGAGGTTTTGATCGAGGTTTACCGCAATTTTTACAGAGTGATTGGCGGACTGAACAAAATTTCTCGGTTTGGGAACCGAACAGGTCAAACCTCAAACAGAGTGCTATGGTATAATATACGATGTGTTTATTGATAAATCATAATTATATATATTCCATGCATTCCTAGATAATTTGTATTTTTGAACAAGACATATTACCCCTACTAAAGATGAAAGATGTTTAATTTGCACAAAACCGCATAAGGAAATCGTGTGGATTGATTGTCGACCTTCCCGGTTATTTTTTTGTTGGATTGCTGGGCCTATAGTTGTATTTTTCGCAACTGCTCCTTAATAAATGTAGAAACTTTACACTCGAAATTTCCATCAACAACATCCTTCAATGAGTTATTTAGTTCAATCAACAACTTACCATGGCATCACCTTAGAAAATATACGTGAACTAGTTGTGGTTAGAGTTAGAGCTCGACAACTGGACTCTGTAGCTGGAACACGGCCTTAAGAGTTATAGTTTTTGAGGAGAAAACAAAACGGGAGGACCCAGAGAAACCCCCTCAAAGGAAGAGGGAGCAACCTAAACTATACGTACAAACGTTTTCAAGTTCAACCTATTGTAGCAGGAGTACGACCCATCCTCTTCCACTAAAATAGAAAATAATATATAATATAATAATATAGTAATCTGCACAGTATTAAATTCTTTATATATATATATATATATATATATATATATATATATATATATATATATATATATATATATATATATATATATATATATATATATATATATATATATATATATATATATATATATATAAAGAATTTAATTTGTTTCGTATGGCAAACTAGGCTTGCCACACTCATCAGGTGAATCATGATATCGCGTATTTACATGATGTTACAAATGTTTGATAACGAAATCAAATAAAACATCCCCTGCGAAAGTATTGTACCGAAACGCACAACGAATCATGTATAGCCACGCTATAAGGTTCCTTTTTTATAAACTACGGATTGAATATTGATATTTTTCGGTTCTCTCTTCATTTTTGCGGAGTTTGGGAAGTACATTGTTTTGTGATTGTAAAAAGCACAACAAGATAAAGCTTTTGATCCGTACCTGGATATCAGTGTAAATAATATTATTTGCACTTTGCACTGACGATGAGGCTTGCGGAACCAAGTTTTGACAAATAAAATAATCATAGTATTTTCCCAGCCACGTCCCAGGCGCTTTGACATGCTAAGCGGGTGCGTGACGCACGCGCGGGAATTGATCGAAGCTGCTTGGTATTTTCCACAAACACAATTAAATAAATATTAAAGGACTTTGTAGATCGAAATTTTGTGTAAATTTTATACATTTATTAAGACCTAACCTTAAGAAGCAGTTATGAAAAATGCAGCGCTCTAGCCAACTGACTTCGCCCGTATCGTGTCGTGTCGTGAACGTTTATACAGTTACATTTATAGATCAGTAGTGTTAATATTATTAAGGAAATGTACAATTTGATTGACACTTCGGATATAGTATATAACATGTGAGCGAGCGTTGACTTTAGAACGGGAATTATAACTTAAACAAAACGTGATATTATAAAGTCTTTACTTCTTCGAACCGATTGTGGGAATCAAACTAACTTCATCACAAAGTGGCACCTCCGACGGGATTATTTGGACTTGTAACTTGTGAATTTATCGGGAATTTATCGAGAGTTTATCGGGGTTTGAGGAAGTATTTTGACTACAAAATCGAGCTATGGTGACGAGACAACAAAGTCAGCGAAGAGATCTTGAAGCCCAAGACGAACAGCAATCGGGTTTATCCAAGGAAACTGAGTCGAAACTGGTTAACTTACAGTCTTTACTACGGAAATTAGCATATTTTAACCGAGCAACAGACGAGATTTTGAGAGTGAATTCGAAAGAGGCGATAATACGACAACAAACAACGCTAAAAACCAAGGTAAGCGAAGCGTATGGTTTGATTGAGCTTATACAATGCTTGAAAATCGATGCAGGCGAATCTGACGAAACTATTGACGAGTGGACAAGCGAAAATAATGGCAGATTACGTGAATATGAAGCGGCAATCGAAGAGTTAAATCGTAGGCTCTTAGACGAAGAGAAAACACAAAAGGAAATTGAGCGCCAAGAGAAAATTCGACAAGGAGTGGAAGCACGAGCTCTAATAAGACATGAGGAAGAACAGGCAGAATTTGAAAAGCGTGCAAGGGAGGAAAAGTTTGCATTATCTTTGGAAGAAAAGAAGTTGGAAATTGCTTCTGCAAAACGGATCAAAACAAAATTACCTGATCTACAAATATCAAAATTTCAAGGAAGTCATTTGGACTGGGTGCGGTTCTGGGGTTTATTTGAGACCCAAATTGATAAAGCACCTATGAATGATGAAGCAAAGTTTGCATATTTGAAAGAGCATGTTGTATCCAAAGTTAGGGTTACAATCGATAAATTACCACTCAGCACCGAAGGGTATGCGAAAGCGAAAAAGATGTTAAAGGAACGGTATGGTGATACAAGTGAGGTGGTCAATGCACACATACAAGAAATTATTTCCCTACCTACCATTAATGGTGCTTCAAAACGAAAGATACATAACTTTTATGATAATCTTGTCGGACACGTTCAAGCGCTTGAAACATTCGGAAAACTAGGCGATGTTGCGGGAAATGTAAGGATGACTTTGGATAAGTTGGAAGGGATTCGGGCTGACCTAACAAGAACCTCGCCAGAGTGGAAAAAGTGGACCTTCCCTGAGTTGGTTGAAGCATTGCGACAATGGATTGAGCGAAACCCAATACAACAAAGTGAGAAAGATGCGAAGAAAGATGGATCACCATGGAAAGGCGGTAGGAAAGATAGATTATTGTTAGCAAAGGAACAATCCAGACAGTGTGTGTATTGTGAAAGCAAAAGTCACAGATCGGTAAAGTGCGATAAAGTTGTGAGTGCAAGTGACCGAAAGAAATTGTTAAGCAGCAAGCATCTGTGTTTTAATTGCACAGGCGAGAAGCATAGAGCAAGTGATTGTAGAAGTAGGATCCAGTGTTATAACTGCAAGCGAAGACACCATACTTCTATTTGTGATAAACTAGAAGATGGTCAAAAGCTGATGTGCCAACCCAATGGAAATGATGTTGTTTATCCAGTTGTTGTAGTCGAGATTGAAGGAGTTAAGTGTCGAGCACTTTTAGATACTGGATCTGGGAGCTCTTTCGCGTCAAGTACGTTATTGAATACAATTGGAAAAAAGCCAGTGAGACAGGAATTCAAATCAATTGAGATGATGTTCCAAACTACAACAAGGAAAATTGATGTGTACGAAGTCGAGATTGCAGATGTTGAGGGAAAATTCAAGATGCCATGTGAGTTGAACCGGATTGAGAAGGATGTGCTAATGACTTTGCCAAACCCCAGGTACAAGGAACTTATTAAAACTTATGAACATCTTCGAGGAGTCCATATGAATGACGGAGACGAGAAAGCACTTCTACCTGTTCACCTTATCTTAGGAGCCAGTGATATGTCCAGAGTCAAGACATCAGAACCAGCCAGGGTTGGAGACGATGGGATGCCAGTTGCTGAGAAAACCGCGTTGGGATGGACCATCATGTCACCGGGACGAGAGATGAATCATTCCTTCCTGATGTTCACCAAAAGCTCTCAAGAAGACTACATGCATCTTTGCAGCTTGGATGTGCTAGGATTAGAAGACCATGCCGAAGGAGATCAAGGAAGCGTTTATCAGGAGTTTAAGGAACAGCTTACTAAGCGAGAAGACGGTCGATACGAAACGTCATTACCATGGAAGGCTAATCATCCAGAGCTTCCGACCAATTACCATGTTGCTAAGCGGAGATTTCAGTCATTATTCAACCGGCTTGATAAACAACCAGAACTGCTAGAGGCTTACCACAGTATCATAGAGAATCAACTTGAGGAAGGAGTCATTGAAGTCGCACCAGAGAAAGCAGAGAGAAGCCGAGAGCATTATATCCCACACAAGCCTGTAGTACGAGAGCATGCCGAGTCTACGAAAGTAAGAATTGTTTACGATGCTTCGGCAAAAGCGGATGAAAAATCACCTTCGTTGAATGATTGCTTGGACATTGGTCCCCCACTCCAAAGGCGAATCCTAGATATACTATTACGCAGTCGAATGAGACCAATTCTCTTGGCTGGTGACATAAAACAAGCATTCCTACAAATTGTGATCAGGGAAATCGAGCGAGATGTAATGAGATTTTTATGGATAAATGATCTACAACGCAAAGAGATGATGGTCTATCGCATGACCAGAGCGATGTTTGGGCTAGGCCCAAGTCCATTTCT